GCCTAGGAGGAGGAGGAGGAGGAGGGTGGTTTGCTTGGAAGGAGCAGACGTGCAGGGAGGGACCAGCCCAGTGTTGCTAACTCCCGAGGTGATGCAGTTGCTCACGTCCCTCCGGAGCGGAGCGAATGGAGGGGTGCTGGGCTGGGAAGGGGGGCTGAAAGGTGGGCAGGGATCCAGTTACACAATGGCAGCTTCCAGCCAGGGAGCAGCTGAGCACAGAGCAGTTTCCCCTCGTTGCTTTTTCTGTTTCTTCCCCACTGATAGTTCTCCTTGAGGCTGGACAACCATCCTGCCACCTTGGGAAGAGCCAAGCGGTGGCACCACTGGGAGCACTGGGCAGTTCCAGGGGAGCTCTGGGATGGGAAGGGAGAGAAGGGGATGGTTCACTCAGTGCTTCCCTTTCTTTTATTCTTTTTTTTCCTTTACACGTATCAGCCAGGAAACAAACCCTTCTAGTCAGAGCAGCATTTAACCTGCAAGGGAAGTACAAGGAAAAATGTTCTGGCAGTTTATGCTGAGCCTTTAGTAATGAACAGTGGGGCTTCTTTGGGGGGGGGTATTTTTTATTTTAGGGCTTTTCTCTTCTGCTGAGATCTTTAGGGGCTGGATCTGCCATTAGCTGAGAACAGGAGGAAGGGAGATTTTTAGGGAAAACCTTACTTATCCCATAATGTGTGTTCTTCTTGTGCCCCTAAACCTTCTAGCAGTGACCTTGGGGACCTGACCCTGGTGTAGGCAAAGCCCTGATCTTTGGTGAGTCCTGTACTGGTTGTTTCTTTTTCCCTTTTAAAGCTTGAGCCCCAGAGAGAGGCCAAGCTTCTCTGCCCTAATGCAGTGAGTGCAGAGCAGAAGTTACAGGGGGATTTTGCAGGTCTTGTTGCCTTCAAGATCCAAAATAAGCAATTCAGATGTGCTCTGGTACCAAAGGACTCCAACATCTGACACAGAAATGTGCGTGTACAAGAGTCCTGCCAAATTTGACAGCAACTCAGGATGGGTCCTGAGTGCCTTTTCTTAAGGCAGTAATGAAGGGGCTGCCTTCACAGGGTCTTTTTGGAGATTTGATCAAGCTTTTCTGATCATGTTCACGTGTGTGTCCTGATCTAATAAATCACACTGTTCTTGTAGTGCCCCTTCTCATTACCAAACAGAGCCTCATCTCCCAGTTCATCTCTTCCTGCTCTCCACAATTCAAAGGGGTTGCTTAAAAAACTACGTGGCAGGTACAAATAGGTCCCTAAAGGAGTAAATCAGCCCTGGAATAATGATATGAGGAAGAATAGAAAATGTGCTGGAGGAATTGTAGTATCTAGAGGAACTACTTGTTACTAATTTTTCCTTGTACTTGGAATCAAATCAGGATGTATACGTGCTTGGAGGGCCAGGACAACCTGTTTTGTTTTGCAAACGACTCCAGTTCAGATTGAAACATTCAAAAAGACAGGGAGGAATGTTCACCTTGGGGGTGAAGGGGTGGAGGGAAGGGAGCTTGGAGTTTGAAATTCAATTTTGTGGAAAAGGCAATGCTTCCACTCCAAACAGGACTTAGATAGAAGGGTGATTCATCCCCCATTGAAGTCCATGCCAGGGTTGCTTTTGATTTAATCAGGATCAAACCCTATGGGATTATTCCCACTTGCAAACTGGACCCGTCCTAGTAAGTAGAGAAACCACAGGGCTTTTGAGGGGCTGCTGCTTCTTTTTATTCTGATTTTCTTCTTTTTTCTTCATTTAATGAAATTGGCTCAGTGTCACAAAGCTGAGAGGAAACCTGAAACCCTTCTGTTTTCAGTGCTTTTCTTGAATGCTCTTGGAACATCTGGCACAGCTGTTATTTTGACCCCAAGGCAGGAGCACAACCTCACTCCTGCTCCAAGTGGAGCTGACACCAAATATGCCAACAGGAACGGGGCTGCTCAGCCCAAAAGGAGCTGTCAAAGGAGAAACTGGATCTCAGGGATGGGGGGAGGAAGCAGAGAGGTCCTGTTGGCACAGGCAGAGCTGTCAAACCTGGGCAAAAATAGGCAGGAAGGAGGTAAAGCAGCGGGCACTCGTTCTGGAGCTGCTCTGAGGAAGAGGCTACTTCTGTTTTTCTTTAAATTGCTTCCTTATTGACTTTAAATTTAGCCACCCAGCAGCCTGAATGAATGCCCACAGGACCAGGGTGTGGGGTTTTTTTGTGCACCTCCACTTCAAGGAGTCAAACTGGTTCATCCAAAGGGAATTTCTGGGCACGGATGGATCTATGGATCTATCCCAGCCCCATTTCCTTGCCTGGCACCACAGAGAAGAGGAGACTTCTTTTCCCTTCCACAGAGAAGATTGTGGGGATGACTGAGTGAGAATCCAGCCTGCTCCAGATCCCAAAGCAGCTATCTTGTCTCTGATCAGCAATATCTGATAGCTGAATCTTTTGACTTCTCCTGAGCTGCAGGAACTTGTCATTTTTTTATCTCTAAATCTCCTTTCTCCCTGCACCTTCCCCATTTCCTTGCAGCTCTAAGGCTTTAATACTTCTACTTTCATCCCTCAGAGCCTTAAATTGTCTCTGGTATAGAGAATAATCAGCTCTCTAGTGTGTTAATCCTCATTATGTGCCTATTAAAATGAAGATTAAATCAAGCATTCGGGTGCCTCCTCCCGTTATGAAATCTGAAAAAAAGGAGTGGGGGGGGGGGGGGAAGCAGGAAAACCACCAAACACCTACAAAAAATGAATTGTTCCTCGAGCTGGGCTGGGAAGGAGTAAAAAGCAGGACTAGGCTGAGGTTCTGAGAGCCTGGTTTGGTATTAATGGAGCTGTGCAAAGGGTGGAGGGGGGGGGGAGATCAGAAAAGCTGTGGCCAAGGGATTGGGGTTTGTAGGCACCAAGAGGGTAGATTTGCATGTGCCTACGTGAGGGGGGGGTGTGTTTGTGCCTGGGTTCAGTGCTGCTCACACGTGCTTTGGCAGGCAGGAGGTGATGCCTCCCATCTGCACGCACACAGGTACGTCCCCCCCTGCCTGCCTGGGGGGCTCTGACCCCCCCCACCCTGGGAGTTTGGGGGGGTCCAAAAAGACCCTTTTTCCCTTCTTCCCAGCTGCTGGGGTAACGGGTGGGAAGGGATCTTTTCTGAAAGGGCAGGTGATGGGTTTTTTTATTTTGGGAGGGGG